AATGAGTAACAAAAAAGCAAGTACATTATTCAATCTTATAGACATGTTATCTACCCATCGCATGTTAATATTAGAATTTACCCCATCCCCTTTTACTAACACCCCAATCGTTTATACAAAGGTATTATTACAGACCCAAATGAATAAGCAAAAATAGTAGTATTACATGGCAATAGACAGGCCTATAGCAGGCCCAAGTAAAACAACTAGATACCCAGCCTTACTGGTCCAGTATACCACACGATCACAGGTCCATAGGGGAGTTTAGACCCCTTCCAATGAGCCACAACACCAAGTATTGCATCACTTGGGATGACCAACATAAAACACAGTACATGATAGGGGAGTAGAACAATAGAGATGGCTTGGAGGGGGGGGGGGGTTAGAGGAATGACTAAGGCCAAACCCTTAGTGTGTCAGAGTTCACAAGGGCCTCAGATGGACCCCGAGCAGTGCTCACATTAAGGATGCCAACAAAGAACCTAGGTAGCCTTGGATTTCAGCCGGCTAAGAATAGAGATTCAGAATACCAAAGTATCAGGTAAGGAGGATGGACGGAAATTCCCAAAAGGATCATACAGCACAACCAGCAAATTCAAGCCATGTTCACATAATCAAAGCACCACATAATCAGCCATCATAGGAGTTAGGAGAAGAAACAGGTTTGCAAAACATAGATTGGACTAGTTGACAACTAAATGTCTAATTAGGTTAAGTCCAGTCCAATGCCTTGTTACTCAGTACTTGGACATAATGGAGGGATACACATATTGACGATTACAGAAAGGAAAGAATGGCAAATGAACCAAAACATACTGAAAACATGTTGACATAAGAGTAAGGTTCTAGTTATCAAAATGTAGTGTTTGTCTTTTAAAAAAACAGGATGGCATGAAACAAGTTTAGAGCACGGGACTTAGTAAGGAATTCATTCAAGTGAAAGGGGATTTCCATAGAGTTAAGGTATTATCCAAACACACGAGCAGAAACAACATACAACCATAATAGTCAGACTCATGCCAAATTATGTTAAGATGCTACAGAGTATAGAACCAGTCTTAGGAGATAAGAAATCACAGAGTGCAAATCATAGTGAAGCATACCACAAGCAGTCGACTGATTACCCTAAGGTGGTTCAGATTATGTTGAGTATAAGTAGTAGGGTAGCATTTAGATATGAGAAAAGGCGGATTACCATTACTGGTGAACAAAGAGGGGGTTAATCATACTAAAGGGGCATGCTGGTCAAAGCATGTTAGATAAGCAGACTACCACAGAAATCTATAACAAGTTTAACCATACGTTGAGTGTATACATTCACGCTTTGCACTCAACCCACTAGTCGACTAAAGAAGTGCAAATTATACAAATAGGCATATTCAAACAAAATGACTAAATTAAACGCAGAAAGAGCTTTAAACAACAGTAATTTTAATACATCAACTAATCATAATTCAATAGAACCAGGTATGCTTGAAACTAAAGCTAAAGAGACATAAAGAAACAAACAGAATCACACACAAACACGACCCAAGAAAACATATTGAGTTGACTGACTTCAGGGATGAAAATATATATAAACCATAGATGCTTAGGAATGAAATTGCAAAGTCTAGTAACTCACCAATTAAGCGAAGAACAATAAAGAATAAATCCCCACAACCCAGAATCCCTAATGCGTCAAAGTTCCCAAGGGCCTCGATGACTCAGGGCAGTGCTCGCACTAGGAACGAGTTTAAGATGTTAATGGCCTTGGCTTTCAGTCGGCCAGTATATAATACCAAACAAGAGAATAGCAAAAACCTTGAATTTTAGTAAAAGAATCGATTTCAAAAGCTGCTCTAGAAGGGAAAAATGAGGGGGGTTTATATAGTCAAAATTCGGGCAAACATATAATGAAACAAAGTAAAATAAACAAAAAATAAGGAAAGAAAACATGCAAATAAATTTGAAATCGATTGAAAAGAGAAATTCGGTAAACCCTAGTTTTTTAGGGAAAGTGTAAATCATAGAAATCCAAACGATATCGGACTCACATAATACAAATCAAACGCGTATAGACGAAATACAGTCCAGATTCAAGAAATAGGATTCATTTGGACAGAATCAGAGAGATAGTACTTGCCATGTTTAGGCAAGTACTAAGTAATACCATGGAGAAACACCAAGTAGCGGAAAGGCACAGATATGGCAAGTAAATGAGAGGACAATCCCATTAGGAGAGAGATTTAGGGAGCGACGACGATATTGGGGTTCTTTAAAGAAAGGTGAGGGTTCCAGTGCGGCGGGTTAGAGGGAAATAAGAATTAGGTTTTTGGGGTTGGGTAAATAAAGGTGGGGTTAAATGTGGGTCGTGGATTTTAAAGATCAACGGCCAGAATTTTATAAGGGATTGGGTCGGGTTGGCTAAGCGGGTCACGACCGGGTTTTTAAAGGGGTTTAATTTTGGCCTGGGTTTAAAGTTTGGGTCAATTCAAGTCCGAAAAAATAGGTAAAATTAGGCTATTATTAAAATACCCAAAATTTATCAAAAAAAATAATTTATAAAATGTTTAATTATAAAATATTATTTATGCACTGAAATATTTTAAAATAATAAATTTGTATTATAAAAATATAAGTATGCTATTTTGGCACAAAATAATATGAAATAAAGAGCAATTGTATGAATATAGGCCATTATTGCAAAATTAGACAAATAGCTTTAAAAATGCTAATGTAATTATATATAATGAAATAAAATATTTGAAACATATATTATAGGTGAAAAATAATTATTTTAGGTATCTAAGTCATCACAAAATAATTTGAGGGATAATTATTAGATATTTATATAATAAAAATATAAAAGAAATTAATTTTGAGCTTTAAAAATTATAGAAAATGCTTGTATAGGTTTGTGAACTAAATAATGGTGCAAACAAGCTATTTTGAAGGTATATATATATATTTTTTTGAAATATGAGGGAAAAATTGGGTATCAACAGTAGTAGATACTCATTGTTATTATTTTGGAATAACTATATTTTATATTATACTTTGGAGTAACTCTATTGATTAGAATCTTTAGTTTAAAATTTTAATTGAATTTCTTTATAACAAAAAACTTATTTTATTTCTCTTTTAAATAAAACTAATTGCAAATTAAACATTTGCTGTCCTTTTTCGTAACTTGATACTTAGAAGTACTTTTTAAACATATTGGCCAAACACAATATGCTTGCGAAAAGCACTACTCAAATGAATTTGCCAAACACAAACTGGTATTTTGCAAAAGTACTTTTTCAAAAAACACTTTTGAACAAAATCACTTTTCAAAATAAGCAATTTTGCAGCTTGGCCAAACGGTCTCTTTAGTCTCTTTATATATTTCAAGTGAATTTTATTAAATTCTTCCGACATGATTTGGTTAGATAGACTAATTAGACACGTATTTTAGGAGGAAAAAAGACGCTTATATGGAAACTAAATATATGAATAAAATAATGAAATCACTTTTTACCAAACAATTTTATTTTATATCACATGAAATTATGAAAAGTAGTATAAGCATCAAAATGTGAATACAAAAATTATTTGTATTGAATATAAAAAGATATCAATTTTTTGGAACGAAAAGAGAGAGTGACAAAAATCAAAACAGAACCTGGGGGTGTAATCAAAATGGACTAGTTAATAAATGAACGGGTAAATGTTCGCCCAAATATTATTGTAAAATAAGCACGGGCTAGCCAGTTTTTGGACTGGTCATTCAAAAATAGCCAGCATTTGCAAAGTCATTGAGAAATAGTCACTATTTTACTGCAACACAGAAAGTTCCAGCATAATATACTAGAGATCGGTGTACCCGTGTATGAACTTCCAGCATATTATGCTGGAACTACAACACGCAGAATGTTCCAGATCTCCAGTATATTATGCTGGACCGGTATATTATACTGAAAATTCAGTATATTATACTGGAGTATTTTTCCGGATTTTGAATAGTGTTTCCGTTGAGATTTATCTTTACATAAAAGTGACTAAATTTCGATTACTTTAGAAACTGTGACTATTTTTAAATGACCGCATGTAAATCTAGCTATTTTTTTAATTTCTTTGGATTGAAATGGGCCCAAGATAGGTTAAAACAAGGGTCATAACTCAACTCTCAACTCTTATCACATTTTTATTTCTTTGTCTATTTTCTTATTCTATAATTACCAAACAAATTAATAAAAAATAGTATTTCTTTATTATAGCTTTATACGGCATATCAAACAAAAAAGTTAAAGATCATTTTTAGTTCGAGGCCAAAATTATTTATATTTGGTAACGCAAAGTAGATAAAATTTGTATATTTTCTGATACAACATACAAAAATATATAAATACAAAAAATATATATATTTTTGGCTATACAGTGTCATTTTTCAAACAAAAAATTTTTTTCTTTAAGAAATCTTTTGATAAGTTTTTCATGATGTGCTGAATTGGGCAGGTCAAACTCTTCTTGGGCTGATTTTGCCACGAAGCTTAACAAGCCGGGAGAAATTGAAAAAAATCCAGATTTACAAGCGGTCATTCAAAAATAGTCACAGTTTTAAAAGTGATCGAAATTTGGTTATTTTTCATGTAAAGATAAATCTGAACGAAAAAACTGTTCAAAATTTGAAAAAAATACTCAAATATAATATATTGGAACTCCATTATATTATATTGGAGTTCTAGTATAATATACCGGTCCAGTATAATATACTGGTGCTCCAATCTCCAGTATATTATATACTTGAACTTTTCGCGTGGTGGAGTTCCAGTATAATATGCTGGAAGTTCATACACAGGTGCACCGATCTCCAGTATTATACTGGAACTTTTCGTGTTGCAGCAAAATAGTGACATTTTTTAATGACTTTGCAAACATAACTATTTTTGAATGATCGGTCCGAAAACCTGCTAGCCCGTGCTATTTTTACTAACAAGCCTTATTCATCATTTGGGCTAAAAGTCCAATGTTTAGATCCAGAGCAAATCCCAGTCCAGGTCCACGAAGCTACCCGTAAATGCCACTCCGCAAACCACCATTAGTACTACCACCAATCACCACCACCGCCGTTAACAACCACGGCGATAAACCATGCTGATCCAACTCCTCTCTAAACTAAACCATAAACCACCCACCACCACCACCATCCTCCTCCTCCTCCGCCGGAAAACTACCTCAGCTGAATACGTAGCCTCGAGAAACCGAGACCCCACTTTCGAAAAACTCATGGACAAATACAAAAACCTCTTCAAAGTCATCTCGATTCAAAACCTCATCCTCGGCACCACCACCACCACCAAGGCCACCGCCTCACCCCCCGCCGTGTCCGTCGACTTCCTCAACCGCTTATCTCAGCGCCTCCATCTCAACCGCGGCGCCACCCATTTCCTCCGTAAGTACCCCCACATCTTCCACATTTTCCACCACCCCACCAAATTACAACCCTTTTGTACACTCACCGAATCCGCCCTCAAAATCACCCAACAAGAAGCTGCAGCTATCAATGCTTCTTTACCACTTGTAATCAACCGTTTAGTGCGTATGTTGTCCATGTCAGTGACTAAAACACTGCCCCTTAGAGCCATTTTCAAGGTTTTTAGGGAACTTGGTTTGCCTGATGATTTTGAGGATAGTGTAATCTTGAAAAAATCTAATCTTTTTGCACTTGTTGATAGTGGGATTGAACCAAACACTCATTTATTGAAACTTGTTGGGGATGTAATACCGAAAAGTGAGTTAGTTGCAGCTGTTGATAGTTGGAGGGTTATGGAGTGTTGTAAAGAGGATGTTGGGGTTGATAGGAATGAGATTTTGTATAGTTTTAAGCATAGTTATCCACCAGGGATGAAGTTGAGGAGGAGTTTTAAGGCAAAGGTTAAGGAATGGGAAAAGTTGAAGTACGTGGGGCCGTACGAGGTTGTGGAGATTGGGGAGAAGAGAAAGAGTAAGATTGGGACGATGGAGATGGAGAAAAGAGCTGTTGGGATTGTTCATGAGTTTTTGAGTTTGACAGTTGAGAAAATGGTTGAGGTAGAGAAGATTAGTCATTTTAGGAAATGGTTTGGGATTGATTTGAATATAAGGGACTTGTTTTTGGATCATCCGGGGATATTTTATTTGTCTACGAAAGGGTATAGGCATACAGTGTTTTTGAGGGAGGCTTATGAAAGGGGATGCTTGATTGAACCGAACCCGGTGTATGAGGCTAGGAGGAAGCTTCTTGATCTTGTTATTTTGGGACGGCGTGGATTGTCTAGAGGTCACTCTGAGCCAACGAGTGTGAGACAGGGTGACGATGGTATTGACGAGTTGAAGACTGATTCAGATGAAGATTGAATGCAGGGATGCTTTGCAATTGCTAAAAAAACGCCAGTCACTATCTGAATGACCAAACAAATACCAGCTAACGAACCGAACCCCCACCAATAACAAAGGCCTGATGGAAAGGATCATAGAAAGTCAAGAAGCATTGAACAAAATGCTTAGCAGTGAAAATGGAGGTAAGAGTAGAGAACACGAGTTCTATATTGACTGATTCAGATGAAGATTGAATGCAGGGATGCTTTGCAATTGCTAAAGGCCTGATGGAAAGGATCATGGAAAGTCAAGAAGCATTGAACAAAATGCTTAGCAGTGAAAATGGAGGTAGGAATAGAGAACACGAAGTGCTGGATTGTTCATTTACTCTGAGGTAGATTTCAAATCTTTTGATTCAAACGCACAAGAATTGTTTTCGTTTAATTTCAGTTGGATTACAGCATTCTAGTCCGCGGATTTCAGCATATTCATGTAATTATGCCTCAAATACCAAACTAGTTAGGGACGGCTATATGAATCCTACATATCCATTCGACTCTACTCGGACTCATTTCATTCTTTTTTGGCTCATTTCATTACATCATATCCTTTTATACTATCAAAAAACTAAATTCCCTCTTTTCATGGCTCCCTGATATGTCTTTTAGAGGCAGAAATAAGTTAAATATATCTCATTTGTTCTGTACTGTATGATCATATGTTTCTTTATGTCTTATGATCAAGAAAACTAATCTATCACTTCAGGTCGGTCTAACTTAACTAAGTGAAACCCGACAGAATGCATAAAAACTAAGTGAAACCCGACAGAATGCATAAAATCTTATGCACATGAAACTCACGCACCAGACATGAATGCATGTCTTAGGAATGAAATGAAGGACTTCAGTGTTTAGGGACCTTTTAACTAATATGATAGGATGGTATGATTTGAGAGTTTGCATATATAGCAAGTTCGAGTTGACAAAACAGTCCATAGCAGTCATGTCGTGAACTTTCCCTGTTGGAAAAGAAGCTATAAGCTGCATATCTGGTCCATTGATTTTGTTCTATTTGTTAACTTCCAGGGAGATGAGTAACATCCATATTAGCAGAGACCAACTTCAGAGAGTGAGATGAATTATCCTCCGCATTAGCATAGAGGCTTGCGTTTGAGGAAATGAGGCCGAGTTTCAATTACTGATTACACTGTTATAAGGCTGCAAAATTTGCTGCTTTATAATGGATGACGTGGTAGCTGCAAGTGAATGTTGAGTATCACTGATACTTTAAGAGAGTTACTCGATTTAGAACTTGTGGTCTTTGGGTGAAGCAACACAGTCCGTAATGCTTGCAATGCCCTGCTTTTTGAACAATGCACGACTGTTTTTGATTGTTGCAAATCTATTTAGCCAAGCTGTTTTGGAACTTGTACAAGTTTTGTGAAGGTGGGGAAGCCAGCGAATGGAATCGGAGCATTCATTGTGTCATCTTGGAAAAAGAATTCCAAATCCTGCATGATCTGGGACCTGGAGACAGGCCAAGTGAAATGACGTATCTTGCTTGCTTACTAATTATCTTGGTTTCTTAGGCATTAACTGCAAGTTGTGTCGTATATTGCTCACAAGTTTCTGGGTCCGTGGTTTCTCCTTCTTTATGAATGAGTTGAGTTGTAAGCTGATATTAGTTGAAGAAGAATGTATATTAAATTTATGAAATTTGGTTTGGAAATTGGAATGCTGCACATATGGTACAGCCCAAGGAGTTACTTGAATTAGTCCCTCTCGTAAATTCATGCATTAAGCTTTCTTATCAACTTTTAGAAGTAGTAGAATTAAATTAAACAGTCACAAATTGCATTCCTGGTTCTTAGGATGCCAGATATAGTTAAAGCTTTTTGGGCCATATAATATACTGCACACAGCTTAGTTTCCACCTCAATGTTAAAAAGTAGAGAAACGTGCTAATTTCTTAGTTGAATTTTTTTGGCGGAGGTGTATGCAACAGGTGTTTTTACCTGAGCACTTAATGCAATATCTTCACCTTAAAGTAAATGATACGGTGAGGTGACAGTTCAATGAGCATTAATGCTTCTTTGGCATCAGAGAAGTTTCACCAAAACCCAAGGTAATAAATAATAACGACTGGCATACAAGCCCAACGGCAATTTAGGTGTCCATCTCCATGCACCAGGAATGATACTTTCATCCTTTGTTCTCTCTCTAAATACAAGTTCCATCATTAACCAGTGTTTGTTTCTTTATGGTATGTGGTTAAAATCCAATAAGCCCTCTACTAAGCTGGAACAATGGCAAACACATATGTGTCAACTTTGTTTAGTGCATATACAAAAATTATTTTGCATGCATATAATTCCAGACCATTAACTTTAATTCTTGAGTTGGCTGATAAAAAAAGTAAGCATTCAGGAAGTCGATAAAATCACTTGTTACTAGTTTTGAACCGTTGAATTTTCTCAAGACATGCCTTAGCTCTTTCCATGACAACATCAATCCTACTCCTCTTAGTACAACTCACAGGATCCAGCACTATTTTTTGCAGTTTCTTCTTGGGTTCTTGATTGTCTTGACTACCATAGCTTCCATTTTTCCTCTTCCTGTTGCTTGATGACTCTATTCAGACACCCAGCACAGAATCAAACATCAGCAGAGCAAAATAACAAAAGAATTGTCCTACGCAAACATAGGATTTTAAAAAAGTGCAAGAATGCCACAAGATTCAAGATTGCAACCTAAAACAATTTTTGAGCCACCTTAGCCACTACACAATGTTATCTTTGACACGATTGATATATTTACTAAAAAGAATTAGTTTAAATTAGGATAGCTATACAGTATAATTTTCTGACAAAAGGAATTTGATTGAACCCCACTTGGACCATGTATCTTCGCCCGTGCCCACAATTCTTTTGTGGGAAGGTGTGCATACATAGTCAAACTATATAAATTTTAAATATTTTCAACTATATGCATTAAGTTCGAGCTAAACGCAACTGGTTAAGTAGAATTCACTATCAAAGGAACATATGATAGCAAAACATAAAGAAGAAATAACCTTGAGTAGCAGCAGAGGTTGAAGGAACAGAATCAGAGTTGTTGGATTCAAGAAAAGAGATGAAGGATCTGAGCTCCAACTTCAGATACTCAAACTTGTTTGGGTGCTGATCTTCCAAAATTTCCAGTTCTTCTTTTGCTTGCTCTATCATATTTGCTGAACCAAACACATTCCATGATGTTGATGGCCATTCCATTTTTTCCTTTTTTGCTTAGAACTTTCAGGGAAATGAAAAGACAGAAGAAGAGCAAAAGCCGGAAAGTTCGAATTCATTAATAAATGAGTTTGTTCCTTTGTTTTTAAATCCAACTCCTCGTACAGTGTCAACTGACCATAAAGCGCGACATGAAAAGTTTTTATGTCCGTTTCTCGATATTATAAACGCTTCGTTCCTGTACCACTATGAAGTGGAGTGTACAATACATGCTGCATTATCTAATTTTACACCTTGGATATCATTAATTTATATTTAGTTTAATAATTAAAATTAAAACTCCTCCCATTCCATTTAAAGAATTAGTCTTTAGACATGTGCGTTGCACGTGTGTCCCGTATCAATATGTACAAATTTTTTAGAATTTATATATATCATCATATATTCTAAGTGTGAAGGCATGATCACGCCCAACTCTAGTCCTAAAAAGGATAAGCAGTCGCTGTAAATATAATCCGGTCTAAGAGTCCAGATTCGAATCCCACAGAGAACTACGGTTTCGCTATAATCGTTCAATATCACAAGAAGACAAACTCGAATAAATTCCTAAGTTAAAAAGATTAAGATTCTTATATCTAAATAATTAATTAACAAATTAAAGTAGTAAATTAACAACTAAAGATACTAAGTGTTGGAGACAAGATTAAGGAGGTCTAGAGTTATGATTTCCCCAATTGTCGGAATCCTTCCCGCTATGTTTCGTACAATTTCGCTTATGTATTCTCTACTGATCGTGAGCACTTTAGGTGACGTAATTCTCTCTTGAGCAACTACAACAATTTACTAGACATATTCTCTCAAACTACTCTAGCTTGCACTTATCACGTCCCAACCTCGGGAGGCGCGACCGGCGCTCAATCGAGTGAACCCAACTGAGCAAGCCTTTTGGACACTTTCTACCCAATTCACTATGATCAAGGAAACCATGCTTTCATTTATTTAGACAGTAGGAAAGATCGTACATGCAACATTGTTAGTTCATTTTATATTACAACCCTTAAACCATAGTTAAGTTTCCAAGACCTCATACATATACAGTTTAGAAGAACTAGAGTTTGGAATTACAACATAGCTCATTAATCCATCCAACACCCGTACATAACCCACACAAATGTCTACGGAACCTCTAAAGATACAAAAGACAGTTTTGATAATGCCGGCAACAAGGCCCCGACTATACCTCAAAAGTGATAATTTATAACAAAAGACATACTGCACAACTCCTGGAAGAAAAGGGGCTCACCAAGATTTGCTGAGTGGAGGATGCTCCGCTACCTACGATCGGTACTGTCTGCTATGGAGCCACTTACATCTTTTCAAAGATGTAGCGCCCCCGGCAAAAGGGACGTTAGTACCATGGAACTAGTATGTATAACTAAACACCATCTCGTTAGAAAGAACTATCATACAAGAACAAAAGAATCATAAGGATCAATCAAAAAGCTTTAAACGATCACCACATCATCAAATAAAAGGATCATATAACTTTAACATAATTTCCATAGCTTTAGGTTGGGGCATATAATACTGTTCATCATCATTCACAATACCACCGCTTTCTTGCGCGGAGTCCGATCACGACCCGATCGGCTAGGTTGCCTTATTTGAGACATGTATCTCAATCACAATCTCATTCCCACTTTCCGGTTTCAATGTCAGCACAATACCACCATGTGTGCAGCATGGCGCCCGATCACGGCCCGATCGGCTAGGCCGTCTTACCAAGACGTTGTTCCTTTTTCATTAATCATCTCATTTTAATCTTTATTTCACATATATTAGTTCATAGGCACTTGGGGCCACAATTATTACATCATGCTTGGCACTAGGCCACATTTCATAATTCAAGCTCTTTTCCCCCACATTTCACATCATTTCCACTTTCAACGTTAACCTTGCAATTTTAGATAATAGGCACATACAAGAGCAATTCCAGTTGTAAGCATAGAGAAGATTTCACATAGTTTGGCATAACAATCTCAGTTTAATCTTGACTTGAAGTCTAGGTATTTCAACACATGGTTCACATTTTTCACACATCCTTAAATTACCAAGAATAGTATATTGGACACATTGAGCACACCTTTCACGTATATATTTGCAACACCAATTCATGTGAAATAACAATCAATACATCAATCAAATTTCGGTCTTACAACATTTGCGTGGACACCAAAGGAGCTCAATTTCTAAGAAGAGGGGATTTTAGCCATACATACCTCAATAGAGCTTTCCTTAAATTCTTACAAAATTTCGGAACTCTTAGCAACTTCGATCTATTTTATGAGAATTACAAGTTGAACCAAAAATTAGAGAGATGATTAAGATTCTAGCTCATTTGAGTATATTATCAAGCACTAAGTGTGCATTGTGATTTTAGGACCTTTTTGTGAGAGGTTTTATCATCCTACACCCCATTTGTTACATTTTTAGCTCACAATCTCCCCATACCCTTTTATCAATCGTGCATGCAAGATAATCAATTCTTATACCCATGAATCCACTTGTTAATTACTCGTTTTAGTAGAAATTTCGAAATCAAAGATTAGGGCACAAGTTCTTACCTCTTAAAATGAAGGCTTAGTAACTTTACTTGATAATCTTCAAAGGTTTGGGCAAGGGTTGAATGGGGACTTGGTGAGGATCACTTCCTCTCTCTAGAATTCTTCTCTCACTCTAAATGTAGTAGAAAATAGCATAAAAGGGTTTAATGGGGTGTTTTAATGAGATGGGGCCGGGTTTTAAAAGTTAAAAAATAGGAGCCCTGACTCAATCTGCGGTCGCATATGCGACCGCATAACTGATATGCGGCCCGCAAAAGGGACCGCAAAAATGACCCTCGAAACTTGAACATTCTGCCCGGGTATACGACAAAAATGCGGTCCGCATACCTGTTCTTCGGTCGCATAATGCACCACAGAACTGCCCCTCGCAAAAATCCCAAGGAGGTTATACGACGACTATGCGGCCCGCATATCCATTATGCGATCGCATAATTTGGCCACATAGTTGTCCTCAAATTAGCCAACATTCTGCCTCACTCTGCGGCAGTTATGCAGCCCGCATTTCCATTATTTGCATAATGGGCCGCAGAAACGCGCTCTTCTGAAAAATATTTTTTCTTAACTTTTTAATGCACAGATCAATTCAAAAGGTCCGCCGCGAAGAATTTTATAAATTTCTAACACATATTCCTAACTTGGCACTACGTGATTTTGGGTTTTTGATTAAAAATTTCACGGGGCCTTACAATCTCTAATCTCACTTTTAAACCCGCCGTATTAATCTCTCATATACCTTAGGAGTGGCGTTAAATATGTAACCTTTCTCAAATAACACATAATAGATAGGCACAGTCAATCGATGACCATTCAATCAACTAAAATAAGTACGTAGTTGAACAAATAGATAAAATTAAAGGTTAAATTATATTAAAACATAACAAGAATTCATCGTCCAAGAGGTTCCATCAAAACTCTAGATAATAAATTATTTACTCATAATCGTATGTAAAACTACAATATTAAGAGTCATAAGAAATAATGAAAAATAGAAAGAATAAGGGAAAAAACTCGTGGTTGAATCTTCCTCCTTGCTCCTAACGTGTTCTCGCCTCCTTGGGTATTGTTTTACCCTAAAGTAGTGTCTCCTCCTTCAAAAGAACGTTCTATGATGTATATATATCAATTAGGGTTGATGTGGGGCGTCCTTGATTTCTCATAATTCGAAAAGAACACGCTGAATCGCGTGCTAGAGTTGGTACAACGCGCGACTTCTAGGACGTTCCCAGTTATTTCTTTTTTTCTTCTTTGTTCTTTCGCGTGCCAGGTCCAGTGCCAACCTCCATACTGCACTATTTTTTTGTTCATTCCCTAGGTCATTTCGTGCCTACTTTCATGTAATGCACCAATTGTGGCACGCTCCCAGGTCTTGCATCTCTACACTTTTTGCATCGAATCATCCAATTCTTGCCAACTTCCATCCAAATTCATTTTTACACACAATAAACATGTAATGAGCATATTATATGTTTATAAATATGTAATCTTAAGCAACTCACATAAGAAATAGTATGCAAAAATACTCAAAAACAAGGCCGAAGTGCAAAGTTAAATGATCAAAATATCCCTTAAAGCTAAGTGACATTTTTGCCCTTCATTTAAATACTACTCTTATGTCATTTTTGTACCAAAAGGTAAAATCATCTCATAATTAATTGGGTCTTTAATTCTCTACTACACTTTACATGAAAATGTAAAATACAATGTAACATATAAAATATTTTTGGAACTTGCAAAATATTTTTGTAATCCCAACTAAATTCATCTAATATCCAGTTGAAACTCTTTTAGTCATTTCATTTTCATAGTCTTGCCCATTAGTCTTAATTGGATAACTACTTAATGTATATGGTCTATTAAAAATATCTGGTGCTTTTTGTATTCTCAATTAAATTCATAGAATTTTTGCTTTGAGAACGTCCAGATAAAAATACTATTAATGATATTTGATAGACATAATATTCTATAAACAAACTAAAATATAGTAGTAATATTTACTGGCTAGCGCTCCTTGTATTATAAGAAAGACAAAGCCTGCCATTATTTTCGTCAGTGATATTAATATAACAAACTAACTTTATAATTTTGGGTTACATTATGAGTCTAACAAATCACTTGCTGATATGGATGACATATCTAATAAGTTCTTGAATATGGTGGTGCCTTTGGACAATCATTGGTGTTGCAACAAGTTAGAGGAGATGTTTGTGCCGATGAGAGTTTAATGACGTCTACTATAAAAATCAAGGAGCCTACGGGGCTAAGCATTTTTTTCTTTTGTGTTCAGATAAATATTTTTTCAGTATGATTTGTTTAGTTTTTACTCGAAGTATAGAGTTTTTTGCCACCCTGAATGTGTTTTGGCTTTTTGAAACAAGCTAATAAATACATCTAGATCACCATAAGATATCAAGAACTTATACTTCTTTCTTTAATTTTAGTCGCTCAATATTTTTTTTGATAATAATGATATAA